AGCCAAATGTCCCCACCGAAGCCGAACTGCGAATGTTAAGCCTATGAACAACTACTGCACCAATACGCAGGCTGTCTGACCAGTACTTGGCAGACTTGCAGGCAAACTGCCTTTGCCGCAGCTCACTGCATGTCCGCCAAACTCGGAGGCAGCCTTTTCTGAGAGAACAAACCTCTAAAGAGCTTGAACGTCTTGTTACTATCTTTGATGCCTTTGATAAAACAGCTGTTGAGGCTGCTGGCATAACTTCCACAGTTCTCGATACCTGTAGTTTCAACGATATGAACGTTGAGCAAGGCATGTGTTAGGGAATGCTCAGTAGAAGGTTGTAATGAGCTGCTTAGAGGGGGCGGGAGCGATTGCGTCTCACTGTTCTTGTCGTGTTCTCATCGTATGGAAACATTACGGGAAACATAAACTCTACCCCATTTCCCCCTCTGATTTGGACGAGCAGCGATTTCCCACACCTAGAAGGTAAAGGTACATAGGGAGATTTAGTCCTTTTCGCTGCGCACGCTGGTGGTGTATAAGGGGGGACTTGGTCTGGCGTGGCGCTAATCCGTTCTCCACCAGTTGTAGAAGCTGGTAGGTGACCACGCTGGGAATCAGGCTCTCATTCCGAACATTCAAACCCGATCCCCTTCCCTGTGAAACGCCCCAGCGTCCGCAGCGAAGAAAACTGTAGGTGGAGCTGGACTTTCAGGCTGCAGGGGTCCCACTAGAGGGTGTCGTTAAGGATGCCCGTAGAGAGTTACTTTCCAAATCGCCCTTGTCACAAAAACTGAGGTATGGGAGAAGCGTTTGGCTTCGTAGGAGATGTCACACCCCTCAAAATCCACGCACCTTCCCTCAGCTTTTCTATGGTTCACCCAAGCCCCATAGCAATTATTTGTAAAATGCCCACCTTTGATTTTTCCTCCAGAATCTTCGCACCTGGAGCTGCCGTAATTTTGATGATTGATTCGTCAACCTGAACGGGACTGCGAACAGGCCTCGGCCCGAGCCTGAAAACATAAAGTTTATGGCTTTACACTGCTTCCACCCTCTTGAGCCAATTCCTTGCGTCTGCAGAAACTGCTGACAGCAGGATAGCCGAGTACAGTTACAGTTCTAGGTGGAAATCTCAGAGCAGTATACGGACTTACTTGGCTCATGACGCTTTCAGTGAAGGTTTCAGCAAACTTGACAGCAACCAAGCGGACCTTTCGTTCCTGAAAATGAAGGCAAATAATTGCACTCCGTCCGGACAACCTTTTTTTCATTCTTAGGAGCAAGACTGCT